AACCTGGGGTTGGGGGTGTAAGGGCATGTAAGGAGCTACTTCAGAAGCTACATACAAATATTAAAGATAGGTCTTCAAATCACAAATATGTCTATGCAATAAAACAAATAAACCAGGTATTTATTATTTTATTATTCCTCATTATCTAAATGGTGGATGTTTTTATATATATATTCACCTCAGTTATACTAAGTTTTTAATATATGGCATGACTACAGTAGGCTCGATTGGGTTTGCTGACCCATTTGGCAAAATCTATCACTATAATCAATAGCTCACATATCCACCTTATAGAAATCAAAAATGGATAATTTAGAAAATGCATATAAGCAAAAGAAGAAAAAATGAAAATTACCATCAATAAATATCTTTTAATATCAATAAGTTATGCTGGGGATTTAGCTCAGTGGTTCCACCGTCTTACTCACAATGCGGAGTTCGATCCCCGGTACCAAAAAAAAAAAAAAAAAAAAAAAAAACCAATGGTGAGCCTTATCAGTTATTCTACTATCACTTTACTTACTCCACTTAAGCTATTAAAATGTGCCTAACTATGATTCAAAGGCAGACTATAATGTTTAATGATCCATGGATAGCTGCAAAACTTAAAACTGTTGCATTTAATTACTGCCAAAAGATATACTTTTAAGAACAGAAATAAAATTCACAGGGAAAAAAAGCAACCTTACTTCTCAGTACCTAAGCAGAACAATTTGCCTTACTCACACTAACTTCCTATTTCCAACACAGGAAATCCTGTTACAGAAATGTCACTAAGAAATTGAAGGGTAAAAAATTTAAATGTATGGCAAAAGCTGTATGCTGTTTCCATATTCAAGCAGATAATTAAGTGTCGACTGCTTGCACAAACTAAGTCCCATATAAATATTTGTTGGCTGATAAGTGAATGGCTGAGGAAGTCAAGAAGGAAAACTATGACCTCTTTTTGGCTGCACAGCTTGTAAAATTCAAGGGAAAAGGAAAAGAAAGAGTATTGTGCCAGTGTTTCTCTTCAGACCTATGGGAAGTCAATGCAAGGGAAACTGTCTATCTATAGATAGAGAGTGTTAAAAGATAGATAGATAGATAGATAGATAGATAGATAGATAGATAGATAGATAGATAGATGTATCTATAGTGTATCTTAAAATAGTGCTTTGAATATTTTAAAATATCATTTTCTTAATTACAAGATAACAATATCAATAATGAGCCTGCCAAGAGTTGAAAGCAAGACAAGGAATAGGTGCAAGGGAAGTGTATGGTAATGATGGTGCCTCTTGTGGCAGAGCATCTTTGGAACTCACTGCTATCGAACCAATGTTGACAGGTTGTTCATGCTGTTTAGAGCAGAGTCAGATGGAGTGAAAGGAGGGTCTTGATACTCTACACAGGGGTTCATAGCCAGGGCTGTATGATTCTCAAATAATACAGTCATGAACTCTATGTTTGGGAGTTGTTTTGTTGTGGGAAAGAGAGACAGCTCAGTGTTACAGCCAAATGTTACAGCTCTGCATTACAGCTACAGAAATTTGAAGACGTGAGAATCTGAAAGTCCTTCAAAGAGGTGGAGAAAAACCAAACTTTATTAAGTTGGCTGGCCCAGAGGAGTTTAAGCACTCCAAATTCTGAGCCCCGAAGAGAAATGGGAGCAGCCTTATACAGAACTCCACAAGGTGCAGGGTGAGCTCACCTACCTGGACAGCATACTCATTGAAGTGGGTGGGCAGAGTTAACAGAATATCCTTGAAACCTTAGATAGAAACATTGTTCAGCACTATAATTACCTTGGTTTTTTTGGTTTTTTGGGGTTTTTTTTTTTTTTTTTTTTTTTTTTGGTACCTGGGATCTAACTCAGGTCCTTGTGCTTGTGAGGCAGGTAGCAGAGCCACTGAGCTAAATCCCCGGCCCTATAATTACCTTGTTTGAAAAGAACACTCTGATACACTGGGCAGGAACATCCTGCAGCACAAAACAGTATTTCTTTAACAGAATATTCTATGGTAAAAACATGGGGGAAAGGCCTGCCCTATTGTACATTATTTCCTTATCTGTTTCAGAACTTAATCATTCCAATCTACCCAACTGAAGAATCTGCTCAGTGCAATGGCTACAGGTGGGTTGGTACTCATGGAAATCTCTGGCAGAGAAAAGTGTACTAGGATTAGCAAAATGGAATATGGAGATACCTCAAACACACATTTGTTGCAGGAAAGGCCTTGAGATAAAGGAGAAATGACCATGTCTAAGTGGTAAAAGGTTGTCTAATGAAGTCTAAATAGACATAAGTCACCTCGGTGGACGACCAAGACCCTCAGATTCATCCCTTTCTAAAAAGTTGTTTCTTTCTTGTATACTTGCTATGTGACTTACCTCCCCACTGGATAAATATTACCTACGTAACTACATTTATAATCTTATTGATCATATCTGTAACCCACATTGTACCCACATGGCTGTGCCCTATAAAATTTCCCCTGAGAAGTGGGGTCCTCAGCAACTCTTGCCTCTCAGGATCTGTATCTTTCCCCCTCGATAAATATTTCCTACTCTTAACCTCTGTAGTTCCTTAGAATTCATTCTTCAATTTTGAGAAACACAAACTCAACATATCAGACATCTTACGTGTTGGGAGTTATACCATTTGCAGGTCCTATATCTTTTCCTATATCAACAGTTCATAAGAAAGGTTTTTAGATTGAGAACGTATCTAGCCTTGAGAGAAAGCTAATGATAGTGATCTTTAAGATGATTTTTTTTTTCCTCTCGGGGTACGACCAGTTTTCTAAATACCCACAAATGCCACAAAACAGAAAATTGTAAGTGATAAGGCATGTTATCGTTTTTCATTTTATTTAAATTAGAAAGAAATAAATGCCCTAAAGGGGAAAAGAAAATAACACACTGAGCTCCCAAAGGAATATGGGTAAACTCATTCTTGGAGTTGTTTGAAAACTGAATAGATTTCTTTGAAAACTGAACAGATTTAAGTATAAAGGAAAGAATGGCTGGATGACCTCCCCAAGACCCCAGCAAACTCCTTCAACCTCTCAGTGACTTTCATAGGCCTAGAAAGAATTCAGGAAGTTCAAGGCCTTCAGAGGTCAAAGCTAAGGAGTCAAGAATTCTATAGCATTGCCAAGAATCCAAGTTCATTAATGAATTTTAAGGATGGGTGAGCAACTTAATGAAGGACAGAGAAAGAATATGTTTCAGTAAAAACTCAAGCTTTTCCAACACATTTTTTTAGGATTTAAATTTGGGATTTGATTCTAACCTACCTACAGTTCAGTGAATTAACTTGTTACTGCTGCATGTTTGCTGGCACAAGGCACAGCACTTCTAGTTTACAGACAAAGGACTTTATTTCTTATGGCACAGCTAGCAGCCTGAGCTGCCTCTCACTGTAGGAAAGGAACCAGGACTCATCTTACAGCAAATAATAAGCAAGCTGCTCTTTTAGAGAGAGGCATTATTTCATCCCTTGAGTTTGTCCTGCAAAAACAGCTTTGAGAAATGGCCTGGGTATAAAGTAACAGTGGCCTTGCACTCTTGGCATATGCAGCAAAAAAAAAAAATGTAGGAGTGCAAGACACCTGTGAAACACTGTGCCTCCCGTGACTGTCTCACTGTCTCATTCTCTTGCCTCATTCTTCTTCCTCTCCTGAAACTAAGGAGAAACAGAAATTCCAGTGAATCAGCTCAGACCCTTCCCACACCATACTCCATCACATCTTTAAGTTGTATGGCTTGAAAAAAAAAAATACCCAACTCCGGAGTTCTTGCACTGTATCTGATTCTGTTGCCTACTGTCTTCCATAAGCAAACAGGAGGCAAGTTGCCTGCTTTTCCTTCTCTTGGCTTGCTTGAAGACTGGCTGCCCACACTTTTAATCTGCTCCCCACTTAGTATTTCAGCTCTGCCTGCTGTCTCAACAACACTAGAAATATTTTACAATACTCTATACACAGATCCCCAAAAAGATTTAGTTTCTTAGTTCTGCCACTCATGTAGGCCTTTAATCCATGGGTGTTTCTGAGAAAGATAAATCTCAACCTACAGAAAAACTATCTGGTTTAAGTAATAATTACTAATAATTACTGGGATCCTATGAGGTACTACCAGAAAATTCCTTCTACAGCATCTTAATCACTATTTGTGATGGTTGATTAGTTGTGACAACTTGAGTAAGGGAAGCTCAACTAAATTGGTGTGGAAGGCCTACCCTAGGGCAGCTCTTTGCCTGGATGGTATAGAGGGAAAATGAAGAAAAATGGATCTGCTTCTGTTCCTTTGGAAGAGCTCCAGTCTTCACCTTCACTTTGGACATCATCTCCTGGGTTCCAGTGCAGACACTTCCCGCACAGATACTCCAGCCTTCTGGCATAGACTCTTCAGCCGTCCTGATTTGGACTCATACAATGCAGTGAGCTCCAGACCTTCTGTACTCATCCACATCCGACTGTGCATGGCCAGTGTATGCCAATCTTGTAAATTCGTATACATTTGTGTATCTTGTATTACATGTTTCACTAGTATACACTGACTGATACACTATTTATTACCCATAAGGTAGGAGTTAGTCCCATTTATTTCAAGTAGGAAAACAGACTCAGTCAAGTAAGTATTCTACCAAAATCTCAGTCACTGGAAAAAGTCAGCAACATATAAACACAGACCCATGTGACCTACTGTACTTTACCATGTTTATTCAAACATACTGTGGGGATTCATAAGAAGTGACTTACAAACACTCCCTCTTGTTCTGAACAATGTTATTACATGCTCAAGGTCATGCAAATATGAATGCCAAGTCTAGTGCAAACTGACCACTCGCCCAAAGGAAGAAATTCTGCATTCTTACCCCTGCCACACACACACTTTTGAATCAGTTTTGCATCCAAATAAATTACACTCTCTGTTAAGTAATTGTTGGGTTTTTTTTTTTTTATAGACAAAGTTCTATGTTCTCTACTATGTCACAATGAGAGGCTGAAAAATCAACTAGAGATGTCACCGAAGAAGGACATCAATCATTTCCAAGGCTTCTGGTCTGGCTCACATGCAATTAAACAAAATCAGCTCAAGGATAAATTGAGGCATCTGGGTTGATGATCATGAAGCTATATTCAGCATTTAGGCAGAAACAGAGCCAAGTTCCCTTGGAGCTTACAGAAGTTTCTGCCCAGAAGTAATCCACAAAGAAGCAGCTCAAGGGTCTGCTGAACTAAGTTCAAAACTCTTCAGAAGGACCAAGCTCGCTGGGCCTAGCTGTTGGTATATTATGGAAATATACAAGTGCACAGATTTTTCAGTAGACTTGCAAAGTTTGTTGGGTTGCAAAGCTTGGGCCTGGCCTATAGTTTTGACCAGATAGTATCATTGCTCCGGAAGGTAAGCTCCATAAGCACACAGAATGCCTCTGTCCCTACCCCTAATATGCTGAGCATATGTTGGGGTTGTAACCAACATTTACTGAACAGTACTTTTCTCTGAGCCTCAGTTCCTGGAGGACACCTGCCTCAGAAATCACTGTACAAATGTAATGAGACACTACCTGAAAACCTCCTGGAAGAGGGCTCAACTTACCAGATTCCTCATAGTCGCTAGACTCCCTTCATTCCTCTATAGACTGATACAGGGTACTGAGGGGGTATGAATACCCACAGAACTCTCCCTGCCCTCTCCAACCTTACTCCTAAATTGGACAAGGTAGCAGAAATCACTTATTAAGGCACAAGAAATGGGGTGAGGGCTTTCTTGTTCAAACCCAAACTAGAGTATGAAAATAATGTTTTAAAGACTAGGCTTTTTTAAACAGGCGATCTGAGAAGTAAAAGGGTCTTTTTATTTTATCAATTTGCCCCTGACTCAGGCCATAGATGGTTCTGGTTCTTCTGTAGAGTCAACGCTGGCCTAATACATCCCATTTTCTTCCAGGTTTGACTTCACATGAGCAGTTCCGAGAAGCCATAACCAATGATGTTCACACCTTGGCTCAGGTAAAATTCCCACATGCCAGCTATCGTGCCAACCTGTTTTTGTTCACCCAGGAAAATGTAACAACAGTAAGTGCATGTCATTACAGAGAAAATTTTGAATTCATCCTCTTTTGATTAGACAGTGAATCATTTGCAAGCTTGACTGCTTTAACTACTACTGGTGTTACTCTGAAACTACTGACAGCCCAGCCACGGTTGACAGCTCAACTCACACAGCACAGCAGGGACACATGCCATTAAGACGACTGACATCTTCAGAGCGCAACCAATAAAAACTTCCTGACTAGATCACTTTTGGCTTCAGCAACTTTAGGTTGATCTAGATAAAGTACCAAGAAACTATAACAGCTTTTTAAAGTTGTGGGGCCCTCTGAACTTTGCTAAGAGTTTTATTCTATAGGCTTATTATAAGGACACACATGCGCACACCCCACACTGTCTTGTGTGATACTCACATTTGAAAGAGATGTTTTATCACATACGCTTAACATCACTGCCAGCCAGCTTGTGCAATGCCTGCAGGGAGGACAAGCTCAGGGAAGGCCCTCTTGCTCAGTGTTTTGAAGAAAGTTTCTCTCTTCTAAGTGACTTGAATCGGCAGCTACCAAAGGGGTGCCATGTCTCTATTTTCACCCTCTCTCAATATCAAGCGCTCTTCGATCACTCCAGTTTTAATGTTCCTTGACTACACTCATTATTTGTAGACCATGTGCAGGTGGGGAGAAGAATGAATTTTCTCCTTTCTTATGCCATGATTACCATTCCGGGGAGAGAAATCACCCATGCCGGGGGAGGGGGGGATTTGAGGGACTTGTGCTGCTGCTTAGCAGATCCTACCCAGCGTCAGCAGGTACAAGGGCTCTGTTTGCTTGGTCTCCTGTAATCATCACCGGAGTCCTCCCAGTGTTTCCTTGCAGACAAGGAAATGGATGTGCAGAGGGTAGAGCTGTTTCGCTTAGAGACCCAGCATCAGGCTCCGGAGCCCAGGGTCTGCCCATGACTATGGCTATGATGCTTATCTGTAAGAGAAGGCAGCCTCAGCATTCTCTAGAACATGAAGTTTTACAGCAAGGAGGTCATCTGTCCATTTGTTCTTTCTGTTCAGGCTCAAGCAAACAAATACAAACTTAAATTATGTGGTAAGAAAAGTTGGTTCAATAAGTCGATGATGATCCACTGAAACAGAGAGTGGGAGCCCCAGGGCCCCAAGGTCAACGGCAACTGGCTTAAGTAGCTTATGGAAACGAGAAACCTCTCAAGGTTGGTGGACCTAAAGGGAAATTTTCATTAAAGAATTTTTTTTCTTGGTACCGGGTATCAAACTCAGGACCTTGTGCTTACAAGGCAGGCATGGTGCCACTGAGCTAAATCCGCAGGCCAAAGAATTTCTAATTTCAAAGATTTCATAAAATATTTTTCTGTATCAGATCCTGCAAAAGCTTTGCATTAGGTAATAGAATTCGAATCAGAAACTAGTGAAGGGCAACTGCTTCCTTGAAAAATAAACATTCTCCTCAAACTACTTGAAAAACTACAAACAGTAAAACTCAAATTCAGAACTAGCAGCAGAACAGCACTTTAATCTATGGGCAATTAAAAACTGCGTGGGTGGGAAAGGGGAGAAGAAAGGGGAAATAATAAGAGGCAAAGCGGGCAGTGGTGGGGCAGGGGGAGCAAAGAGAATCATTTGTGTGGTGTTAGTGAGATCTGAAATGTCCCCCAAAAGTCTCGCATGCTCTGAGGTGGGGCTTTTGGAAGGTGACTGAATCTGTAGCACAGCAGTCACCAGTACCTCAGTCTGTTACTGACAGATGAGTCAGACAGAAAAATAGAGAGTCAGATAGGGCTAGGTCCTCGAGAGAGGCAGGACAAAGGTGAAACACTCCACAGACGCACCGGAGACACAACTGTTGGAGGCTGGACCTGAGGATAAAGATTAGAAGACCAGACCTGTATACCTCAAAGGACAAACTGGGCCTAACGAACTCTGGGTAGAAACTGGCCACCCCGGTGGGTAACCAGAGAGCTCTGGACCCACCACTTCTTAAGAGAATCCATGTTCTTTCCATCCACGCTTGTTACATGACTTATTTCCCAACTGCACCACCATCACCTGAGTGACTACACTTGTAACCTTACTGGATGGTCACAGCTCTGGCTCACGTTGTACCCATGTGGGCTTTACCCTATAAACTCCTCTGTAAAGCAGGGTTCACTTGGGTTCCCCTCCTGCCTCTAAAGAGCTGTCCTATTAATAAATGCCTTCCTACTCTTAACCTCTGTAGTTCCTAGAATTCATTCTTTAATATTTAGAGAACATAAGCTCGGCGTATCATACAGCTGACAGGTTGGGAGATAAAACGTGTCACATTTCATCTCCTGGATCAAGTCCATTGATGAGCACATAGTGGAATGTGCTGTCAGGAGGTGCATCACTGAGGGAGTACCTTGGGAGGGTGCATGTCTCGCTCTGCTTGCTCCCCCCACTTCCTGGCTGCCCCATGAGTTGAGCTGTTTTCCTCAGCCACACCCTCTACTATGCATCTGTCTTGAAGCCAGGTGACTTCTCTCTTTTAAATTGTGCGTCAGGTACTTTGTCTCAGCGACAAAAAGTTAAGTGATGGGGGGGCACAAAGAAAGGAAAGATGAGAAAGAAGGGGAGGGGAGAGGACGGGGGAAAGGAAGGGATGAAGAAAGGAAGAAGACTGTAAAGGTATGAAAGTAAAGAAAACAGGAGGAAAACAGAAGGGAAGAACAGAAGAAAGAGCTGAGAGGCAAATAAAATAAGAAAAGATGAAGGAGAGGAAAGCCTAGGAAGGTTACTCTTGCTGTCCACCTTGGCTGTCGAGTACACTTTAGGGCACGGTATCGATGGGTTGTTTCCTTCAGCAATGCCTAAGTAACTGTGTGAGCATGGTTCACAGGTCTTCTATGTGTCTCGCCAAATATGAACAGTCTTGCTATCAATGGTATACAACAGTAGTTACTGGGAAAAATTATTTTGGGGGGATTATTTTCCAGGCCATTCTGAAGGTAGCCAGGAACTATTGCTCTCACACTGAATGAAACTGAAATGAAAAACAAATTGATCCCCATGGGGGAAGTTACTTTAATACTCTCTAAGGAAGTGGGCTGATCTATACTGTTAGCATTTCAATGCAAAGAGAAGAAATAATAAAACCTATATTCAAGTATATTATGGTGATTTGTTCTCAATGGAGAAATAGCTCTCCTTGGTGTGCTCTCAATTTCTTCGCTGTGTGGAGCAATCCTTGGCTACGTCTGTTCCTCAAGTCTGTCAGGGGCTCTCCCTGCTAATGAGTAAGCTCTCCTGGCCAGTCCCATCACCACCTTAAAGAAGTTTTCTGAGGTGTACACCCCCTCATAATAATACATGAATGGTTCTCCTAGACTTTCACACAAGCTGCAGAAATTCAGTAATAGTAGCACATTTTTCACATTAAGTTGAAGTCTTCCCAGATTCCCTAAGCCTCCACAGGCAACTTTACAGCTTTGTGTAACACAAAATGGAATTTTGAAAGCAGAGTGAAACTGGTGCTGGAATAGTCAGGAAGTCACCAGATGTTGCTGTTGCAGAGAATACAAAATACTTTCTTCTAAATGTGCATGTGATTAGATCTTGGGGAACTACTCTATCATTATAGTAATGGGGAACTTTTTTCCTTACAAAGTTGCATTTTTCCCACTCAAAGTCTCTTTTGACTAAATGAATTTCATATGTGTAATCAAAACATTATGCATGTCATTGTACTTGAAGTTAATTTGAGCAATTTTTGTTAAAATTTACCCACATGGCAAAACACTCTTTGAAAATAATTTCATGAAAGGGACCTTTAGAAGTTATTATTTTAAACATAACCATGTATCTTAGCTTCAGCACTGTTTTGTTTTGGTTTGGTTTGGTTTGGTTTGGTTTTGGATGAAATGGATGTAACATGTTTTTACATCAGTGTACGCATTACAGTTTTTGTTCTTGAGCAGTGACTAGAAAGTTTTATACTACTCTGCAAAAGAAATGTATAACTGCTTAGAAGTAAAAAGAATTTTTCTAAAACTATGATTAATAGTGAAAATTTGAAAATAACTTCAATAATATTCATTCATGCATTTAAGCAGTGTCTGCTGAGGACTTACTTGCGTTAACCTTGTTCTAGGCACAGGGAAACCTCACTCCATAATGGAACAGTTTCCCTCTCACAGAGCTCATGTTTTATAAAAACAGAAAATTTGTTACATAAATGACATTGTATTCTAACAACGAAATAGTGCAGGTCCTACAGACTATGTGATATTTATTTTTAAAATGATATTTACAGAACAGTAAATGAAGAGAGGTTACAAAGAGGACTTTTGTGTGATAATTTTTATTTAAAATGTGCATGGTGATACAAGGGGTAACAATTATTGAAGGGCATTATTCTAAGCACTTCACATAAATTATTTCATTTTATCCTCATTACAACTATCTAGACCATGGGGTTAATGTTATTAACTCCATCTTTAGGTGATAGGAAGGGAATGGAGGCACAAAGATGAATAATCTTGCCAAAAGTCACATAGCTTGTTAGTAAAAGATCTGGATTCAGATCCAGGTAGTTCGGCTCTGGAGATGTGCAGCTGATCACCATGACACTGTGTCATGTGTGGGATTATGACATGGACATCTCTAGATGGGTACCCCATTGTTTCCCCCAGAGTCCCTTCAGGATGACATTTTACACAATAGGATCATCAAAACTAGTGAATAATATCATACCATACTATTAGCTAACCCATCAATCTATTCATATTGTACCAGTTTATTCATTAGTTAGTAGGCCTTTTCTATTCTAAGATATAATCCAAGATCCTACATTTCGTTTATTTTCATGTCTCCTTGTCTCCAATATGTGATAATTCTCAGTATCTCCTTATCATTAAGACCTCAACATCTGTGAAGAGCATTGTTTAGTTATTTTTGCAGGATGTCCCTTAGTTTGAGTTTGCCTGAGGTTTGGTTGTGTCTAGACCAGACTGAGATTATGTATTTGGGGTTATAATAGCATAGAAGTGAAGTTCCTTTCTCAGAGTATCATATTAGCATGATATTGATGTGTTACTACTACTTGGATCACTTGGTTAAAATGTTATTGGATTTTCCCACTACAAACTTACTGTTCTTTCTATTGTAGTCCTCTATTAAGTATTTTTACAAGAGATGCTTCGAGACCAAGCAAATATCTTCACTGTCCTCAAATTTTCAGCCACTAATTTTCCATCC